TTGACTTTGCTGGTATCTTTTTTTTTATGTGTTATCAAACAGTTTGTTTGCTTTTTTTTGTGTTTCTAGTGCCTTTGTTATTTATTAATTATATATATTCTTTTTACCTATTCTGATCTTGTTCTTGTTCTGACTTTGGGCTGGATCTTTGCATGGAATGTACAAATAAAATTATTATTATTATTATTTGTGTTTCTAGAGTTTTGTGTATGAATAAGCTTTTGTATTAGATTGTTTAGATTAATTGTATGGGGTGTACTTAATAAAGTGGCCACTCAATCAGCTGATATAGAATATGATATATTTATAGATTAAACTACTACAAAAATATAAAAAGTATTTCAAATTAGCTACATTGCAAAGAGCTAAAACAATAAAATGTCACAGCTCAGGAAATACAGGGCTGGACCCAAAAGCAGACGAAGCAGGGAGCAGGATGACCTCCGTGGTTTAATTAACTAGACAAGCTTACAGGCAGGTACTGGCAGGCAGAGACATACTGATCCAGTTGACAGAAGCAGGAGAGGGGCATATAAGACTAACTGACAAAAAAGCCACTCTGTAGAGAGTGGCTGACTATGAGATGCAGATGAGAAGGAGGTGGGCTTGGAAGAATTATTCAGTTTCCTGCAACAGCCTTTTTACAGGGTTGAACTTAAGAAATCTATTGATCGACTCCAGACTGTACAGAAGTCTTTTAACCAGAACAAATTAATGCGATCACATCACTCCTGTTTCAGCCTCTGGACACTATAGCTCCCAACATATTTTAGAATAGATTTCAAAATTTTACTGATTATATTAAAGGCTCTTCATGGCCTCTCTCCCTGCTATATCTCTGTGCTTTTAGTACTGCACATACTAAAAGCTCAATAAGGTCAACTGAATCAGTGACATTCTTTAAGTCCCTTCTTAAAGCATACTTTTATTGTAGAGTCTGTCCTGATTTTACTTGAGTTTATCTATATATATAAAAATAATCAGATGGTTTTGCAACTTGTGTGTTGTTTTTTTGCTGTCTTTGTGAAGCACTTTGTAACATGAATTATAAAAGGTGCTCTATAAAAGACTATTATTATTAATACTCATCACGCAGAATGGCTTCTTCTTTCGCCTGCTGGAGGCCTCTTTAAGTTAAGAAAGCGTTTTCCATCCACTCACAATATTTGTCTGTTCTGTTTGATTTCTCAGTTAACTCGAAGGTTAACTGAAACATGCCTGGATATTAAAACAAACAATACGGTGAATGCACAGAAGCGTTTACTCAGGGAGTAGCACTGTTACCATAGAATTGCAAAATAAGCACGATAAGAGCAAACAGGGTGTAGGTGTGGCAGCCAGATATATATTGTTGCTGTATGTGCAGTTGCATTGCTGTTGCATGCTAAAGATATAAACCTTTATTTAGAATCACACAATTGACCCTTGGACGTCACCTATCCAGCACCTGTGTCACGTTAACTTGATTTGCCTTTAGTAAGTAATTACTTCTGCTCTGTCTGATTGTCTGGTGCTTATTGCTGTCAGGAAGGAGTTTTACAGCCATTGAGCAACAGACAGTGCTGCTGAGGTGAAGCATAGCACTGCCAGAGAAGACACAGCAGACGTTGCCTCTGTCTGCCAAGTCTGTGATCACGCAACCTCTTGCTGGCAGGCCGGGCGGGGCAAAGACCTGCCAACCACACAGCTTCAAGTGGCCTTTCAACACCAAATAGCTCCCATGTCCCAAGATCTGTCTGTCACATTGCACTAAAACCATAAACCCTTGCAAAACACCAGTCCTGACAAAAATTTCAGACACCCAAACAACTGTTTACATCAGTATTCTGGCTTTTATAACACCAAAAGTGATTTACCATTTTCGAATATGGCCTTTGAAACACTGTTGCATCCTCCTCACAACAGCCATTTCAAATCTGCAATGTACTGAGTGGTTGCAACCCTTTGGTCTCAGATTTCTGACTTGTGCATGTTGCCATTGAGAGCTCTATTACAGAATATCAGTGTCATGGTTCAAGCACTTAGAGATTTGTTTGGTTAGAGTGTGCAATGGAAAATACAACTTTACAAGCTTAAATTTGAGGATATAACCACTGATTTACAGCAAGAAATAATTTTCTAAATATATAATTTACTGTCATACATAATTATTTTTGATGGGATATTATATATTTAGACAATTATTTCTTGCAGTAAACAAGTAATTATTATTACATAATTATTTTTCACAACATATTTTTCTTAAAAACCTAAAGACAGTAGTAAAGGAATAGTTTATTATTTAAATAAAGGCCACAGCCAACTGCTGGTTAGCTTAGCTTAGCATAAAGACTGGAAACGTGGGGGGAGGGAAGAGCTAGCCTGGTTTGTTTTTTTTAACCTTTATTTATTCAGGGGAGCTTCTCTTTTGCAGGAATGCCCTGATCACATTCACACTGTTACATCTGAAGCTGCCCAGTACAACCGCAGCCTGGTCTGCTGGCCACTAAGCAGCTCCACTGGAGCTGTTGGGGTTATGGGACTTGCTCAAGTGAACATCAGTGGTGATAAAATATGGAGGGCAAGCACTGCTTGGTTTACTTTCCATACCCAGATTTTATCTGGCCAGTTCGGGGATTGAACCAGTGACCTCCAAGCTCGCTTCTCTAACCTTTGGGCCACCACTAACACGTTTTAGCTCATTTGTTTGATTCATACAAAAACTGTTTTGCCATTTACAGACTTTTTTTAACTGCTCTGACCCAGAAAAGAGTCTGACACATAATCCTTAGTAAAAAAAAAAAAAAAAGATTAAAAGAGATGCAGGTAGGTGACTTCTGTTGCCATTGGACAGAGACTGGCTAGCTGGTTCCCCTTGTTTCTAGTGTGTATGCTAAGCTAAGATAACCGACTGCTAGTAACTGGTAGCCTTAATATTTAACAAACAGAAATGAAAGTGGTATCAATCTTCACATCAAACTCTTGGCAAGAAAGCTAATTTTGAGCTTTTGTGTGAAGTTAAGACTTAATAAATTACAGCTGCAAGCAGCGGTGATCAGGCCCTCTCCACGAAATAGTTAAATGTCCCTGTGGCGCTACAATACACCTGCTAATTATACTTTATGTCCCAATATGTGAAGTGTGTAACACACAGTGAAAATGTTATGTAAATCACATGATTGTCACAAAGGGATAATTTCCTGTTGCCAGTAGGTGGCGCAATGACTTTGAGTGAACATTAGCATATGGATGTCATCAGGATGGGACTTTTATCAAACATGTAAAATGTGGCACATATAGTGCACTGAAGTTACAACAGCTTCCTGTTTCATGGCGAAGCATTGATTTTTGACGCCACGCCATGGACAGCTATGATCAGCGATAACTCACAGTTAGCAAAACGTTTCATCACAAGTGTCTTTGCATTGCACAGCGAAAATTTGAAATCGATGGGAGTAATTCTCTAGGAGGAGTTTGTTAAAGCACGCAATGTGTTAATCGCTAAAAATGACTGTTAAAATAAAAATGTCTGACTTCCTCTTGGGTTTAGGGCCTCGCTTTTTTGAATATCAGGATAATATATAAGCCAACGAAATGTCATGTCTTGGTGAAACTTGTCACAGGCTGCTCTGTAGGGGGCGCTAATGAGCGAGATCCATATGACACTTGAAAAAGATGCATCATTTTAGCACACATTTGAATTTTGAATTTTGAAAGTTTTGTGATATTTTGAGCATTTGTAGGCTGTAAAAAATATGATTTATTCGGTAAAAGAAAGAAAGAATTCTAGCATTTAACAGGGTCCTTGGTCCCTAATTAAATGAGCAGTAAAGGTGTAAATATGATTGCTGTATTTTGTAGATTTCAGTTAGATCAGCTTAAAATCTTGAGAGAAAAAAATATACATTTCTCTTGACATTGGCTGTCTGACCAGCTGTCACCAGTTTGGTTGACCCAGTTTATCTGAGTGGGCTGATGGCACACTGACCAGCTCAGCCATTTTGATTTGCAGCCATTTGTATGGCCCATTGTGAGCGAAAAAAGGAGAAGGACTGCAGCCTCGCACCACAGGGCTCACGCAGTACTTTTTATGCAAACTCTCGGCCCTGGCGTGTTTGCTGCTGCTGGTCAAAGGAGCACCAGTTTGTTTGACCATGTCTGCCCTCCACTCGCTTCCTGGATGCCCTTCATCACACTGCAATCTCTTAATCACCGCTGTGCCTTTGAGAGAGAAAAAAAAACCTCTTTGCAACCGGATTGGCTGCTTTTGGTGGAGCTGTTGCTAAGGGGAGTGTTTCACTCAGTGATGGATAGATGTGGCAGCAACCACTGAGCAACTTATCAAGTTAATGTTTCATTTACAGTCCACTGCCATCATGTTCAATGTGACAAAGCAGCAGGAATATGCGATGATACCCCTTTAAATCTGAGGTTTTGAAGATAAAGTTCTTTGCCATCAGGGTACCTTTTGTTTTTCAGTCAAGTTTCCTCCCCCAAATTAAGTTGATCATTTCTGATGGGTCTGTGTACTTTACAGCTTTTATAAGCTTAGTGATTATGCCCAACATAATTAGGGGACTGAAAATCAAATTAGATTGAAATGGAAAATGAATCCATCATGTGACAACTTGAGTTTAATGTTTGTTAGTGACCATTTTCTGAAGAAAATTATGAACCCAAATTGTTTATTTTGCTTGTGAATGCAAAAACTTACATGTTAATATTTGTGGTGCTAAAATTGCATTATCAAAAACAATAGCTTTACTACTGCAATCCTAAAAGGCCAGACAAGTGACAGCATATTCTGGAGTGCTAACACATTGCAGGTAACTCACTATAAGCACAAATGCTTATTTGCATAAAACAGTACTTTCAAAAATCCCAGTGTTACACAAAGCTGAACTACAAAAAAAGTTGCTGCACAGCTTTTAGCTTTTTACACAGACATTCTCTAACTGAGCTAGAGAGGAAGCGATGTAAACGCTCATCTTTCCTGTTAGTGACACAACAGGAAGCAAACATCAAGTTTTAAGTATTTATTTCAGTTTTACTGTATTGCTGCTTCAATATAAAATTGGTTTGAAATAGCCAAGGACAAACAATACACAACACTTTGAACCATTTAAGCAGTCAGACAAAAGGGGTGGGTGGGGGACTGAACAGGGCATGAGGGTATACAAAAAGTCAAGGCACACCATGTTACAGTAATACCAACTGGGAAGATTCAAAACCTGTGAAATAAGAGCTCTCAGCTCTGCATTAAAATCACATATTTTACAGGAGGGACAGAATAACCAGCATTCAATTTCTCCTACAGTCAGAAACCTTTTATTCACAATCTGGTGACAAATTCAATTCAAAACTTGAAATGAAGATTTAAAAAAAAAAAAAAAGGGTAGAGCAAGTATCTGCATAAACCACAGCTGTGCATCATCTGGACTTGGGGTACAGATTCAATAAAACCTCCACCAAGTGTCAACCTCTGCACTGAAACAGGCAGAGAGAGACGTGCAGGCGTCACTGGTTTCAGGTATGTTCGGTGGGGAAGAAGAGGGAAGTTGGAGTGTCGCTACTCAGAAGTGAGAGAAGTCATAAAGTGGTTACCCTGGTCAGTTCGCTGTCCATTGAGATCTATTAGGAAGAGGTGGGGCCCTTCTCAACAAATTCCATTGTGCAGGTCAAGCAGTCCAAGGTGGGGGTGGAGACATAGTGACTTCTATCTCATGAAGTTTCCGCCTCCGATTTCTCTCTTATACCGGTTTGTGAGGTGATCGGCTTGCAGCGTAAGTTTGGACAGAACTCCGAACAGTCCCCTGAGGTGATAGTGAAACTGATGCTCCAGGTCTGAGTTGTCCTCCAGGGACAGGTCCCCGGTGACTGGCTGCTGCTCCTCCTGCTTCACCGCCATCTCCAAGAAGCTGGCGCCGCTACTCATCTCTCTTTTCAGCAGACCCCACTCCATGTCGTTCTTTATAGACTTGAGGAGCAGGTAGTGCTCGTACATGTCCCTCTGCTTGTTGGGACACGGCGGTTCATGATTGTTGTTGGCCTCCACCTCGCTGGCTGCCTGCTCCTCCAGAGGCACATCTCGCAGCAGGCTCGGCACCATGATGGTCTCGTCCATGTTGTTGGCAGCTGCTATGAAGCGATGCATGACGTTGATGAGGGAGTGCTTGTTGCTGGCGGAGTCGCTGCTGATTTGCATCATTTTGAAGGCTTTAGGGTTGGCTTGGTTGTAGTGTAGAGCTGGCGGGTGGGGTTATTCAGACAGAGCTGCTTGGTGTTTTTAGGAGGTGGCTGAGCTGTAAGAGGGGACGAGAGGAAACATGAGGATGCAGGGAAGGTGTAAAGATAACAGCAAAAGTGCAACAAATGAAAATCCAGGCCTAATGCATTCTGAAACACCAGGTTTCTACATTCCGGGACGACACAAGGAACCCAATTCACAACCTCACGACTAGGTTTAGGTTCCTTTTTGTACAAGATAGATTTGGTTTGGAGTAGAGGCATCCATCTTGACGTCTAACAGAACATGATGCTCAAGCCTCAAATAATCAGAATTTAAAACGAAACAAAAACAACAATTAGAATAAAAGACTACGACATGTTAATTTGAGTGATAGCTGCTGGAAAAAGTAGTTTTAGGCCGCTCTGTTCTACACCTTAAATATAAACCCGCGTCCAGAATAAGCGGCTGAAATTCACCGTACATAAGGGTCAAGTCATAATTTGAAGTTTGCAGAAAATCTAATGAAAGCAAGGCAGCTTCTTTCTCACCTCATCCGCAGAAGACAACCCGATGTCTAGCGCGCATACACAAAACCCCAATGTGACCATTGATTTCCTGATATTAGAAATCCTACATTCGCCTCAGAGGCCTGGAATAGAGGTTGCAGACTGACCTGAAGCACGAGGTAACCTGAAGAAAATGTTTCTTGGCGTGCTGGTTGGACAAACCAAGTCTCGAGCTCTGCACACCACCCGCCGTGAAGGAAAGTACAAATTTCCCCAAATGACCGGCAGCTGCACCTTGCTTATATATCGGGCAAGCCGGGCTGGGGAGGAAAGACAACAATGAAGTCCGTCCTCCTTGGATGTTTCTCCCGAGCCAATTGGGCAGCACTGAGGATAAGGGCGGACTCTCACAGCATCTGATCGTAAACTGACCAATGACACGTCAGATCACAGCTGCCAGTCAGTTTGTGCAGGGCTTGTCTGCAATTAGCTGCACCCTATTTACTTTGTTTTCCAGGCCGTTTGTAGCCTGAAGGCACCACCGATGCCAAGTTGGTAGAGTTGCAGGGGCACACGTTGCCTGTCATGTGTCAGGTTTACCACGTGAGATTTTCAGGGGAGCTTTTGTATTAAAAAAGTGAGAAATGCAAGAGCCTCCGTTGAAGTCAAATACAATGAGCTCGTTTCCCCTCATTTTTACCTACGGAGTCAGTGTTTCTACAGCTGCGTCAGTCCATTGTTGCACCGCACCGCCACCTGGTGGTGCAGTAATCTCAGCCTCCACACCGACACCGTTCATTGTTTCCCACTTGTGGAAATTAATCTGTCAATAGCCACTGCAATCTTGAATTATTCTGAAGGAGATATTATTCTTACCTGATGGTTTCAGTTTGAAAATGCTCCACTTGCCCACCTTTAATGTGAAACAGTGACAGGAACCCTTAACACCAAGGTGTCAGCCCCTCAGGTTCATCTACATGTATGAAACGGAGAGCAGTACTAAGAAAGGAGCTCACATTTTGACATGTCACAAGCAGGAACAGCACAGGTGTATTTAATAAAGTTAATTAACGATGAAGGCATCGTGTTGGTGTTCTGGGATCGGGATTACTGATCTTATTAGTTACACACCTGTGAATTTCCTGCTACGTCAAGTCAACTCGGCTGCTATGAGACAGACCAATCGGAAGTGGTTCACTAAACATTTCGAAGAAAAACAGTTTGACAGGTTGTAAATATCTGAGTTAATTTGTGGAGGTCAAAATAACTCCTTCCTTTACAGAAAAGAAGGCACCGATTAGATTGTCTAGTAGAAATGTATTTTTTGACTTTGCTATCTTGTGAACCATCTGGTGACCCTTAAGATTTCTATTGGGATGGATCCCATCCCAGGTTGGGAAACTCTTTAAACAATGAGACAAGTAGCTTTAAATATTTACATGATTTACAGTGTTTTCCCACAATTCAAAAAAGAGTCAGGGCTAAAAACCCCATAATAGCATTGATAGTACCTAAAATTGTGTTTATCAAAGTGAGCAGCCTATGCTGTGACCAGTAGTTAGCCTCTAAAGTCTCTTACTAACTGGAGATTTTCATATTAATTTACATGCCATTTGCAGAACATGTTTCAGCGATTTATTTTGTCAACAGGACACACAGTCATATTACCAAAGTACTGACTTTTTTTGCATTAAAGGGAAATACAACTTGAAGAGCAGCACACACTCTGTTAACAGGCTGTGAACCTTTCTATCTTTTCTATAATTAAATTACTCATGACTCAGCCTGTTTGAGGGGCAGGGGTAAAAACAAAACAAAAAGGGCACCAGCTTCATGTGGTGGGACAACAGGGCGCAGAAATAGCATGATACGGGTTGACATGTGTTCGTGCCTTTCTGGTTGAAAAAAGCTAGCAAAGATGATCTGGAAATGAAACTTCTGTTCAGCTTAACTTTGGCAGTAGATTATCACGAAGTTCTATGTGACCTTTTGGGACACCATAGAGGGCACATTAGCACTTTTGCAGCGTTTTTATGTGATGTGTTGGGATAGCTAGTCAGAAAACCTTTGTTTGATAACTTACTTTTGGATTCATAATTGCTCTTTGTTTCCTTTTCAAAGCCTTTAATTTCTCTCCAGCTATGGCAGAATACAACTAAAGCTGGACAATGTGTTGATATATAAATATTGTGAAAGACTAGATCTTGTGTGAATTTGGTTGACAAATCCCACTCTAGATTAGTATAATCTTCATCATTTGTTTTAAAGTCTGCATTACTGAAAAGAAACTACTAAATGTCTTTTTTGTATTTTGTATGGATCCCTCACAAGGCCCCACATAACTGAACTATGTTTGTTCGCCAAAACCTCTTTCTGCCTGGATCTTTCAGATGAATGTCAAAGCAAACAGCTGTGGGACAGACACATCCTGAGCATGCACACTGTTAAAGATACTGTTTTTCATCTTTATTTAATTTTTTAGTATTTCACATACATCCAAAACAAATTAACATTTTAACACTGAAAAATGTGATATGAAGTTGGCTCGGTGACTGTAGTTGGCACACTGGAATGCTGGCTTTAACAATACCGGCCTACAGAATCAGTAAGGCTGATTTTACAGTAAATGACTTCATTTTTCATTTCAGGGTGGCAACCTCTTGTCCATCTCTCAGGCGTTGACGAGTTTCATACACAGAAATTGATTTAGTGTTGCAGAGAAGTTTATCAGCATATTGTCTAGATTTCATCTGCTCAGCTACAGACTAGTGTTACATTACAAAATAAGGCAGCTGCAATATACAAAGACACAACAAATGGAAATGTTGACCACTGGTAGAGTTAATTAACACAAATTAAAGTGACATTTATGCTCACTAGAAATCCCTAATTAAATCCCAGGAGTGACGAATGATCTCTGAAATGTCCAGGTCCCTTTTTATTTTTGGCCAGATTACACTGCAGATAACGTCCCTTTAACATTATTCCCTTCTGGTCGTTGGACTGAATAAAAGAAGAAGCGTGTTTTTCCATCTCTAAAATAATTTCAGCTAACACAAAACACAATATTAAAATCACAAGAGATTCAACTCAGTTTGCACCAGGAGCTACCCGTCAGTAATCTGCAAAAAAAAGCATATCAGGTCATTTGTATTTGCATTCGAACACTGGATCATTAAATCACTGCTGCAGCTTCAAGGGCGTCAGAGTTTCACAATCTGTACTCATTTGTGTTAAGAAGATATACTTTATTTAATCCCACGAGGGGAAACTCAATATTTTCACTCTGTTATTATATTAGTATTTTTACACACAGGTCCAAAAGACACAAACATGCACAAACAGGACCCATAGCAACACACGCAGAGATGTCAGAGTGCTGCCAGAGAGGAGGGCTGCCACTCAGTGCGGCGAGCAGTTGAGGGTCTACCAGTCCACACTCCGCAACTCTGGTCCGAGCTAGATTCAAACCGGCCAGCCTAATCCTTACAGACTGAGCTACTGCCGCCCCAAGACATGTCTCCCAACATGGAACAGCCGTGTTCGCATCACAATAAAAAAAGTCTCACCTGTTAGACCATCTCATACTGGTTGTTGGTTATGTATCTGGACAAGCAGCAGGACAGGAAGATCCCGATGAGCTGAGACACAAGATAGAAAAACATAAGATGCAACTCCAAATGCAGATCCTCTCACAGCTGTGCAGAACAGGGCATAGAGCAACCATATTAGTGCTCTCACAGTCTAATCTATGTTTTCAAAACGAGGGTGAAAGATAAAGTGATTAGCCCCAGTCTGTGTTATTTGATTATGCACAGCGACTATCAAGTTCAACTTTGACCTGCTATACAGATAATCAACGTTTTAGTGGGGTCATATTATCTAGGCTGTGAAAACCCCTTCCTTGTTCACTACTCCCTATGTAATAGACCGTTAACGTCTATAATGAGCATTAAATTGAGATTTTGGACACTTGTGGATCATAAACATGTGGCACTATGTATTGCACATATTTCACACCCACTCACTTAAAGTGACACGATGCAGGTATGCAAGTGACACGATTACAAATTCCTGCTGATAAGGAAGAAATAGGGAGACAAAGCACAGCAATGTGGGGAACAAGACGAGTTACAGCAAGTAAACATGGAGATAAACAACTCAAGGATACGTATTGTCCTTTTAAGATATGACAGTAAGCATCCTCACCGCTTTGAAATATGTTTTTATAATTGTCTGTCTGTTTCATATATCCTGTTGCAGCCGTTAAAAAAAAAATGGTTTAATTTTTCTTTTTATGTTATAATTTTACATTGCATTTGTTTCTTACATTAAAGAGACTTGTCATGTAGCGCCCCACCTTTTGCTATTTCAATTTTCAGTCAATGTTTAGAACTGAAGCCGTTGTTGAGATATAATCTTTTGACCACCATTGAAGCACTTTTATGGCACGAATGGAGTTTTGCTTCATTGCTTTATGAAGTTAATTTAGAACAATGTTTGGAACATGTTTGAGTGTGTGATTTTTTATGTGACGAGAAATTCTTGAAAGGGAGTTGGAACGACCATTTATTCAGTGCCCTTTTAATGTTGAAAAGCTGACACGCAGCCGCTGCAGCTGAAAGAATAAGGCCACAATTGTCACACATGCCATGACAATACATCTATGCAACACATATAGGGAACACACAAATGTAATTATAGTCAGATCTACTATTATAAGGCTATTAACTTAACACATTAGATTATTAACACATTGACACAGATTTTTTGCCAGCGGCCTTTCCCTCGGCAGCTGCGACTGTGGTGCTTTCAGCCTGGATTGTGTGTTTAACTTCTTCCCATGTGTCTTTATCATATTATATTTTGCTCTTTATTTGTAAAATATGCCCCTCTGCTGCCAGTAGACTTTTCTGTGTTTTACAACTGGTCACATGTTGCAAACGATGCCCCTTTTATGTGAACTCGCTCATGGCTGGATTGGGGTACAAGGTACAAGGTAGATAATTTTACAGCACAGTGTTTAAACAGATTAAGTTGTAGTTCCCTTTATGCTACTCACAAAACAAACTAATATACAAAAATCATATGCTATAGATTAAAATAAAACTATTCTACATGGTGCAGTGCTGAATAAAATAGTCTCACAGCCTGAAGGCTGGTGGTACAACAGCAGATTTTGTATCTTGGCAGACGGCAGCAGGGTGACCATGGGGTGGGTTCTGTCTTTTATTCCCGGAGTTGAATTACCGAGTTGATAACCACAGTCGTGTGAGCACTTTAGACTGATTGCAGATGTTAAGATAACGAATGAAAT